CAGAGGCATGTTGGGATTGTAGTTAAAGCCCAGCTGGAGGGCCAGAGTTGCCCACCACTGCTCTAGTGTCTATAGGCACGTTACATATTTTCTAGCCAAGTTCTCAGCCAGGTAGTTTGTAGTAGCAGAGCTCTGATAGCCGTAGTAATTCAGCTCATGAAATAAATAGATTTCCATCTGGGGGTGTAATACGGACCCTTAGGCTATTGGACGGCTCAGACACACCTTCCTGTGGGTGAAGGGGGAATAACGTGCAGTGACCTGGAATGACAGACAATCTGGAGCTCCTTAGCAAGTCTAAGATAAGGTCTTGTGTTATGTGAGCACCTGTCATAAACTCATCTGACACGGACCTTTAGCACGGTGACTTGCAGAATTCCTTGTAGACACAGCAGATTCTACAGTGAGGAGGAGTAAGAACATTTCCATCAACCTGGTGATAAAACTATCACCTCATTGGCAGCGAAGGCGCCCCATTGGTTCGTGAGATGGTTGATGGAGATTGCATTATGTAAAAGAGTAAATAAGAACAATTCAGCTGGCCATACACCAGGAGAATTTTGTACCAAATTTGTGTTTGGAACATTTGTTCAATTTTCTAATTACGGGGTTAATTTGACAATTAATTTCGACTGCAGTGACGGGGGAAAAAAATCGAAGGAGCGGGATGGATGGTTATTATTATTACCCTGTTTCCCCGAAAATAAGACCTAGTACTATTTTTGGGAATTGCTAAAGCATAAGACCTAGTTGTGACCATTCCCAGGGCCGGTGGTGGCATAAGGAGGAACTTGAAGAGAGGCAGGAGAGAATCAGCGGTGCAAACGAAGCCAGCGCTAGAGGAAGCGAGGCGGCAGCGGAGGGAGCAGAGCCGCATAAGCCGATGCTTCCTCTATAGCGCCGCCTCCTGTCACAGGCGGAGTGATACCAAATGCACTCCGCCTGTGAGGAATCGATAGTGAAAGTGCGCTTCGCTCATTCTGGACAGCGATTGGTTAGCAACTTGCTCTTGAAAAGGTACGGAACCCCTTATCACCATATTTGTGTACATGAATATATGTAGACTGTTGTACATGAATAAGTGTGGATTGTTGTACATTAAAAAAATTAATAAATAAGACCTACCCCGAAAATAATACCTAGTGTGTTTTTTTGAGCCAAAAAAATATAAGATAGTGTCTTATTTTCAGGGAAAAAACATCTATATAGGATTTATAGAGCGCCAACAGTTTGCTCAGCGCTTTACAATATAAGGAAGACATTACAATCACAATACAATTGAAGACAGGATGGTAAGGAGGGCCCTGCCCCTGAGGGCTTACATTGATGGAGATAACATTATGCAAAAGAGCCAATAAGGACAATTAAGCTGGCCATACACCAGAAGAATCTTGTACAAAATTCGTTTTCGGAACGTTCATTTGTCAAATTGACCCCATGATCAGAAAATCAAACAAATGTTTTGAAAACAAATTTGGTACAAATTCCTCCTGGTATATGGCCAGCTTAATTGTCCTTATTGACTCTTTTACATAATGTTATCTCCATCAACCGTCTCGGGAACCAGTGGTGCACATTAGTTCGAGAAAAAATTTCCATCCAGCTCCTTCAACTTTTTTTTCCGCCATTGCAGTCGGAATTGATTGTCAATTTGACCCCATGATTGGAATCGATATCACCCCACCGCAAGGGTTAACCTTTAATATGCCTGGAATGCTTCTGGAATCTGAATTTTAGTATTCCCTGGCACCATCCAATATCGAATATCCTTGAGAACAGAATTAGAATTCAGAAAGGGATCCCAGAAATCCACAATGAGAACGCCGTCCGTGGCTCATGACAATAGAGGAATGCAGAGGAATGCAATCTCTCTAAAGGCGGCCGTATACCTTACAACCATTGCATGACTTTCGTTGTGCGAAGGTTGAAAGGTGATTCAAAGTTCGTACGATCTGCCCATCATGGACAAGCAGATCGTACTTGTGATCATCGCAAGTCCTCCCCACTTACAGGAGGGCTTACAGATGATTGCAATGGTGAGCGGGCAGTGTGCGCTTGCGCACCTCGTGCCGTGCGGCTTTCGTCTTGCGATCGTGCTACCAACCTGTTGTTTTCTAACGTGCTCGTAATACGAAAATCGTGCGATCGTACAGTAAATGCGGTCGCACGCTGCCCATACACCTTACGATTATCGTACGATTGCGGGATCACCCGCGATTATTGTGCGATAATCGGCAGGTGTATGGGCAGCTTTAAAGTAGATGGAAACCTAACCACTAAAATCTCCTCTAAGCTTTCACATGTTGATGTCATTTCCAAAGTTGTTTTTTTAGTATTTTCAAATCTGCAACTTTTGATAAAATAGCACCTGGTGATCCTGCCATGGAGGTCCTTGTTTAGGCACTTCCTGGTATAGTGTGACAACGCCCTGTCCCCAAACTTCTGGATTATCACCCTGTCACAGGAGCTTCCAGTGGACACTACGAGTGGCCATTTCAACACACATTACACAGGAATGGTCTACTGTTGTCACCGTCAGGAAACCCCTGAGAAGTGCTATAAAGCCATTGCTGCATTGCATGTAGACAGGAAGGGGCTGCAAATAGTCCGGAGGAGATAAGCAGCACTGATATGCATCAAAGGATGAAAAAAAGTTGTAAAGGATTTTATTTAAATGGTGTTTTTGAATGATACACAATAGTTTAGCAAACTAGATGTCAATCAATCAGAATTTGCAGCTACTTTAAGGGCCAGGTGCACACCTAGGCGATTTATTGCGCAAAACACAGATTCGCATTGAAGTCAATGGAGGCTGCTCACACCTTTGCGGTGCAGGAGCTATTATCGAGCGGTTTGGGTCCCATAGACATCTCTATGCATTGAAAAACGTGTGACAATCGCGCGGTTTACAATGAACAGTTGCGTGATCACTGCGAGAAGACAGCTCGGCATCTGAATCGCCTAGGTGTGAACCTGGCCAAAAGAGATTAGAAGGTAGATCATTTGAAATCTTTTGGAATGAATGACATATAATGAAGATGTTATAATGAATGTTGATGAATGAGATCTTTTGGGGGGGTCCATCTGATATTTTGGGTATGGGAAGATTCTGATGGGTTGACTCATCCTCTGGCTTCTCATGTGTTTCGAGGATTCCAGTGATCAGGTTCTTCTCCAGGAGACTTCGTGGAATCTCACTTCTCATGTTGCAGGAAGATTAAGTAACATTAAAAAGACTCTGTACCGTTGCCCTTTGAGGAATACACAACCCCACACACGTTCAGGCCCACCATTGAGCTCCACCATTACTTCATCAGAGCCCTGGGGAGATACCTGGTCCTTCCAGTTACAGAGGAGTATGTGACCTCCCAGGATGCAGTGCCCGGGCCTGAGTCACTGAACATTGTTACATGAGGAAAGGGAAGAAGTCATTAACTGTGTGAGCTCTGACACCACCCAACACTGAGCTTCTACCGGAAATGGACTCCTGGCTCAGATGGAGGAACCGAGCACTGGAGGGTCTGTATTGTTCTACTAAGAGGAACTGTCACTTTGCCCCAACAGAGTCTCTTTAAAGTGTATAGAAACCCTAACAATGACTACTTCTTCTTTTGGTTCGTTAAATATACAATTGAAAGTCTTTCCTATATATGTTCAATAAGTGTAACAAATACCTGTCGATCCTGCCAGAAATCTTGTCAGCTGATAACTTCCTGTGCTCACTGTCTGTGTTTCCAGCTATCTCTGAGAACTGCAGAACCCCTTTACTCTGTTATAAAAAAGAGGAGACTGAAGGTTATTTTAGTTCTGTCCAGCTATCTCTGAGGACTACAGAACCCCTTTACTCTGTTAGGGAAAAGAGGAGAGGGGAGATTATTGTAATCCTGTCCAACGGTCTCTGAGGACCACAGAACTCCTCCACTCTGTCATGAAGAGGGTAGGTTATTGTAGTCCTGCCCAGTTATCTCTGACGACTACAGAACTCATACACTCTATGGTATGGAAAAGAGGAGGGGGGTTATTGTAGTCCTTTCTAGGGGTGACAATGCTGCTACTCCATAGATACAGTATGGCAAGTTAGTGTAGTCACCCCAGGGCAGGAAGTGTGTTACTGGCGGGATCACCAGGTGAAAATAAAGGGGGAAAAAGCCTAAAAAAGCGAACTAATGCAGATGCCACATCTAAGGGCTAGAAAGCTGCAATGTATTACATTTTAATTCTTGGGGTATTCACGCTCTAAGGGTTTGTGTACAAAGGCATATGTTTCTGTCAGAATTTGTTTTCTCGCCAGTGATGTTAAAGGGAAAGCATAAGCAGCTCAGGATTAGATCAAAACCAGCCCAGGAGCTGGTCAAAGGTGGACCAGAACCACATTTGAAGGAACTCTGTAGCATCTACTGCATTGGCAATGTGCAAGCCTGAGATATAGAAGGTAGTATTTGACATCCTTCTGGCATTTAACAAATCTTCTACCTCTCGAGGACTTCTGAGATCTCCGTTCTTGTGTTCCCGGGTCTACAAGAATGCTGCAACTCCTACAAGGGATGTCTGATGGATATTTTATTTGCTCTATACTATAGTACTAGGGGTAGGCAAACTCCGGCCTTCCAGCTGAGATGAAACTACAAATGCCATGATGCACCTGCCTCTGGGAGTCAAGTCTATGGCTGTCAGAGTCTTGCAAAGCCTATTGGGATTTGTAAATGCACCACTGCTGGAAAGCCGGAGTTTGCCTACCTACCCCTTCTATAACAGATGCAAGGGGCTGTGGTCTGGAGGTCTAGGCGCCAACCAACTGGTGAACCCAGACCAGCTCCCTCCACCTATAGCTGGAATCACTTCTGGTGGGACTCCCGATCTATTATACATTGCTGTCATTTCTATGTTCTATGCACACAATAGCCATTAAAATCTTAAACCTGTTTCAATATCTGCTGATAGTGGTCAGGAAAGATCTTTTATTCAGTATGCTATAAGCCCTTTTGTCCATTCTATTTTAGGATAAGAAAATCATAATCTCTCAACCATCAAGAGGACCAAGTGCCTTTATACCTGAAAAAGAGGTAACGCTGAGCGGTGTAACGTGATAGTGGTGAAGGGTCAGGATCACGCTGAATGCACAAAGTCATTGCTGCAATCTGCCCTCTTCAATGAGATTAAAGAGAAGCTCTAGGGAAGCTTTCCAATACAACTAATAAACTAATAGATTAATTAAAATGTCCAGAATGTATTCATTTTTTTATTCAATTAGTGTAAAGCTTAACTCCAGAAGATCTAAAAGACACAAATGAACCCAGCTCTGTAATCATTAACACATCATTACATTTATTTTTAATGCAAGCAGTTTAAAGAAGAACTTTGGGCAAATAAAAAACGTACCCTTGCAGTGGGGGCTACCCCGCACTTCAAGGGTTAAATGCTCATTTTGTCTAAGGGGCTCAAAGCAGATATGCTTACCAGATCCCCGGCTCCTGTACCGGTCAGCGCTCACCTTTTTACCCCTACGCTCTGGCTGTGGAATGTCACTTGACGCCCTCACGCCTAATGCAAGTGAATGGGCCTGCATAAGACGTAATGATGTCAGTGATCTTTAGACCACCGTAGCCTGGGGGAGAAGAGGCTGCAGCCAGGATCAGGTAAGTAAATCTGCTTATATTCCAGCCCCTAGACCAGGGGTAGGCAACCTTGGCTCTCCAGCTGTGCTGAAACTACAAATCCTATAAGGCGTTGCAAGCCACAGGCATGACTCCCAGAGGCAGAAGCATTATGGGATTTGTAGTTTCAGCACAGCTGGAGAGCCAAGGTTGCCTACCCCTGCACTAGACCAAAATGAGCACTTAACCCTTGCAGTGCCGGGGGGGTAGCCCCACTGCAATAGTAAGTTGTTTTTTTTTTTAATTTGCCTTCATTTAAGAACCTGAATCTGACCTGGTTTCAGGCTCCTGCAATTCCCATACAGCAGAGCTCAGAATGGGAGACAGAGAAGCACCACAAGGAGCTAGCTAATCAGGCATGCTGTAGTGCTAACAAGGGGTGTGCTCAGAGGAGAAGAGAACAAAGGGACAGAGAGATGCCCTCAATAGTCTACTGCTTCTCTTTTTGCTGTCCATTCACAGCCTTTGGGAGGGACAAGACCTGTAAATGTTACTTAACTGCATCGGGACTGGGCTGGACAGAAATGTAAATAGTTTGTGAGGTGAAGTAGCTCCTTGGTATGTATTTGATCTCTGTATTTGGCTTTTTGCCTGGAGTTCAGCTTTAACTGCGTCCGCCGGGCATTCAAAATCGGCTGGACAGGAGCCTTCCAGATGTGGGTGGCCATCTTAAAACGTCCTTCCCCGCCCCCCCCGTGCACACCACCTAGCGTGCGCTCGAGTGGGAAAACTGCCTAAAATGTAGACAGCCAGCAAGCGTTCCGGCATCTGTAGAGACGCCCAATCGCTTGCATTGTGCGTGTGGGTGTGCGCCCCCTCCATCGGTGCCAGGTGCGGGCCAGGACCGGCACGACGGCTCTGTGATCGGAGATCAAAAGGAGTTCAGTACACGATCTCCTTCTGATCTCCTCTCCGATCCCCGAATGCAGGAAGTGATGTATATTACGTCACTTCCGCATTCAGCTGCCATTCCCGGCTACAGATCTCTACTTCATCAGCATCTCTGGGGGTGCCTAGGTGACATTAGGGGTCTTGGAGACCACTGATGTCTCCATTAAGAGGAGCTGTCATGTAAATTGGCTATCACTTAGGGGGCTTCTTAGTCCCCTATGTGATGGCAATAAAGTTAAGTGTAAAAAAAAAAAAAAGTCAAAAAAATTAAATTAGGCATAGAAAAAAAAATCACATAGAAAAAGAATTTTAAAAAAAAACACAAAAAAGTCCCTGGCAGCGGTGCTGTGCGATTGCAAAAAATTGTGCATACAGTTTTATTCTGAAGTAAACTTTATGTTTGTAACTCTGTATTTATGTATTTAATTTTAAATTAAGGATGGTATTTAATTTTTTTTAATCTAATTAATCAACAAAATAATCAGCTAACCAATTATGAAAATAATCAATAAATAGCCCAGTACTCGCACAGGGAGAGGGTAGGCCAGTACTCTGAGTCAATCAGAGCACTGTTGCTTTGCACAGTGCTGTCAGTCTGCAGCTTGAACCTACTTGCAGGAGGAAAGTCAAGTGATGACCTCATGAATTTGCTGCCGCTCCTGCAATGTCCATTCGCAAACTAGAGGCAGGTCAGTGACCTATCTATGTTGCTTAACAGCAGCAAACAAACGTGAGGTCACTGATAGAGCTCAGCTATTTGGAAGAGGTGCCTGGATCTGAATACAATGACACATCCGTTGACCTGTTTAGTCAGCTCGGGGTATGTATTTAGCTGTTTGTCTGGAGTTCAGTTTTAGTTTGGCATGCAGAGTGTCTGATCCCATGCATGAATCAGGTGGCACTGGGTGGGCATCCAAAGAGAAGGGGGTGGCATTGGCACTGAGACTAATGAATTGTTGGGGTTGTCTTCCCTGTACTATGCTGCCATATGCCAAAACAGAGTTTGGTGGATCAAAGGAAGATGTTGTTACTTTTAAAGTCTTTTAATAACTAAAGAACGCATGTTTCAACTGTGTTCAGCTCAAATCCCAGAAGCCAAAATGGATAGTATTAAAAAAAAAACCAACAGGGGTTCTAATTTCTCCCCTTCCCTATCCAAAACCAGAAGCTGGACATAGACTTTGTTAGGGCCGGGAGTTGCCCTTTAATTTACAGCAGAGGTAAGGATAAATCCCCCTCGTCCCCCCTCCGCTCTCTATAATTCTCCAGTTTCTGTGCGATTGAGGTCACTGGGTTTGTCTGGTAAAGTGAGGGGCCTGCTGAGCTTGCAGCTCCAGTCCAGTGGAGAATATAGGCTCTGTGTTTACATTCTAACTAAAAATACTCCCAGATGGGCCGTAAAAGGGACAAGAATTACAATGAATGTGCACTACAATAAATCTTAAAACTGTCTCTTATATTTTTATTGTCAGTGGATGCGGTATTTAAAGCGGAACATTTTGCCAAGGACATGATTAAGGTTATATACTTGTCTTATTCCTTGCTGTCATAGGCAGCCGGTGCTTTCTTCCACCGCTCTGGGCCCTGGGGCCTTTCTGTACAATGCCGGGCTACTGGTCAGAGAGCTGCGAATGGTCGGGCAGCAAAGGGGAGAAGATTCGGGTACTGGTCACACAAAGAGGAGAAAGCCTGCAGGAGCATCACCTAGGAAAAATAAGCAGTGACCCCTTTGCAATGACGAGGGGGGACCCGCTGCAAGGGGCTCTTTTCCCCGAGTTCAGCTTTAAGCTAGACGTGGAACAAACATTAAAAATAGAACACTGTTTAATGCTGTTATGTGGTTAATAAAATGTATTTTTAAACAAAAGCTAATACAAATACTTGAAGTTGTCTTTATATCTGCTTTATGTAATCTTGCTACATTGCGCAATGCAGCCAATCTAATACTTGGCGATTACTGAGGGTAAGAGTGAGCAGGGAGATGACCTCATCAGTGTGATGTTGCCTTTAACTTGTCCAATTGGTAGGCTCAGTGGCCAGCTCCTTGGCTAAGCTTCACTATAGTGGAGATCAGGTACCCAGCCAGCTGTGCTATTTGGTAGTACAAGGTAGTACATGGAATTACAAGATTTTAGGGAGGTAAAATAATTCACCTAAATTTATTTCTGCTGCAATTTTACCTGGTTGCCTGGAATTTCAGCAGGAAGTTCAGCTTGCTAACTTGTACATATCATTTACTGTTAGTAATATGTCCTATGGCCACATGTTTGTGATCACATGACCCTATTATTATGTTCTATGGCCATAAGTTTGTGGACACGTAAATGTTGGTCATCTCTTTCCAAAACAATGGGCATTAATATAGATTTGCCCCCTCCCCGTTGTAGCTGTAATAGCCTCCACTCTTCTGGAAAGGCTTTCCACAAAATTTTGGAATGTGTGTGTTGAAACTTCGGCCCTTTCAACCAGTTGAGTATTTGTGAGCTCAGGTACTGATGATGGATGAAAAGACCTGCCGGTGGTCGGCATGCCAATTCACCCCAAACAAGTGTATTAGGGTTGAGGTTGTGAAACTCCTCAAACCTTGACTTTGTGGAGCTGGCTTTGTATATAGGGGCACAACAATGCTGGGACAGAAAAGGGACTTCACCAAACTGTTACCACAATGTTGCAAGCGCACAATTGTCCATCCAAATGTGATGAATAGGGTTAGGATCGGGAATCTGTGCAGGTAATTTGGGTTCCTCAACACCAAACTCACCAAACCATGTCTTGATGGGGCTGGCTGGTACAGAAAATGGTCTTTTACCACGAGGAAGGAAGTGCACAGTTGTCTAAGATAACTTTGTATGCTGTAGCATTATCAGCGCCCTTCACTGGAAACTCCTGAACTCTGTAATTTCCAGAGGTGTCCACATTGGTTTGACCAAATAGTGTAGATCATTGATAGTTTGACAAATTAAAGAGGATTTTGATTTTTGTTATGAAGTGGAAATCCTATGGGTACTCTGCTTAGCAGGGTTGTCTTGGTTGGGAACCCGAATGATCATGTTTTTCAGATGCTGCATTGAGCAGTTTGGAAGCTCCAATACCTTGACATAGCTTCAAGACTTTCTTTGGGTGCCATAGCCATTTTAAGATTGATTTTTACTTTGCCATTATTACACCATAGAGACCTGTATGGGTCTGTTTCTGTAGTCCCACAACTGCAATCCAATCTGTACTGCACCCACCACCACACGGGCGATATTGGGTCTTATAAATAGACCCCATAAAGATAAGTGCATCCTTTTTGCCACCTTCCCCTTAATTAACCTAACCCGCCTTCCACCTCCATAGATGCATTCTTACCTCAATCTGATGGGCACGTTCCTGCTGTTTGTTTACATGCAGCATTGCAAGTCTGTCCTAGCTGCACCTGCACATTAGTGATCCATAGACTTCATTGGAGCGGTGTCCTAAGGCCTGGAATGATTGGAGACAGTCCCATAGAAGTCTATGGAGGCTGAATTGAGAAG